TTTCTGGATCCGCCCCTGGATGACATTGAGATGTATAATTTCAATAGAACATGGAACAATAATAAAATTGGCATGAAAAATTATGCTTAAAGGTACATTAACACCGAATCCGAATTTAAGCTTCAGAAAAGCCTACCGAACCGATCAGAAAATCGGATCAGTGTGTAAAGCCAAAAGCCGGCACTCACTGCATGCGCCCGACGCGATTCTATGAAGAATGCAACGCCACGACGCGCCACCGACAATCAAAGGACGGCGTCTACTAGCGGTCACAGGGAGCGGGGCTAGATTCGTCCGTTGGATTCAGAGTTTTTTTTTCAACCGTACTTTACTCTAAATACTTTGCACCATCGTACACGGACATTACAAGTACGCGGGGACCCCACAGAGGTTCCACAGACGCAACTGAACCGAAAGTCAAGACACTTTCAACAAAAACAAGATCTTTTTTCAGAACTATACATTGTGTATCACAATTGTTTGCAAAGCATTAAACTTTCCGGAATGTCAGTCTAACTTAACAACTGACTAATCAGAACGAGTCATTTAATAGGCGGAGACACTAATACGCGCATGTCCCACAAACACAATCAAATTACGGTTGTCTGTTACGGCTATCGTCTTGCAACATCTAAGGATGGCTCAAACAGCGTCGTACGACGCAGCTCGACGCGATTTGTTTTAACTGTGTGAGTTGGTTTGCGTCGGGAGCAGTCGCGTCGTATAATATTAAACGTGTTTAATATTTCTCACGACGGCTTAAGACTGTCCCCTACGATGAATCGCGTCGCGGGCTGCATCATACGGCGCTGTCTGAGTTGGCCTTTAGAAGAATGGTTCATTACCGTACATACGGTTTTATTTGCGTTTCTTAATTGGCAAGGAAGATGATATTTTTAGTATTAAAATCTAACGATATTTAGGGAATAGTCTAATTAATTCAAACATTTCATCAAAGCTTATTGTTATGTTATATATTGGCTTAGCAATAGCACAATATTTGTTTCATTGTCCTTCTTATTTCTGTTCTTTAGGTAATATATTTTTTATTCCGACTGTCGAATCAATAAAATTACTTAGAAAGTCTAACGGGATTGTAGTGAAGGCTCATTTGAAAATCACCAAAACGGAATAATGCAGAAAATATCACTTGGTGAATTGTTAATCATTGATATTAAATAGGATATTCACATTTAACACCGATACGTGACGTTATAATCCGATTTAAATGGATCTCTCACATGTGCTCAGCATAACCGCACGTACAGCTCATTCTGTTTGGCTTGTGGGGTGGCACGCGCTGTATACGTCACATGGTGTATGGTTTTGAATGTTACATTGCGCATGCCACGGAATGACAATACGAAACTATAATGTCACTTTACGGGGACGCCGCTTTTAGCTACTTTCGGTGGATTTGCATTAAAAACAATCGTTTGTTAAATGCAATACACAATTATGTTGGCCTACATCGCTGAGAATGTTTCGCAGCGAAAATAATTTACAACATTAGACTTAATTGAGGTATATTGATATAGAAATAAGTACTGACATAAACACATGTAATAGCATTGCAATTTATTAATTGTAACGATATGATAGCCTGAATGTGTGGAAGCGTTTATGAACATGAGGTATTTGATGCTACAAATCAACTAGACCTACTTAAGTAATGTGTGTGAGGTTCTTGACAAGTACCGTACTAAAGCACATGCTACAAACTACCGTATCATTCTGTATTGTTATTGCGCTTTGAAAAAAAGAAATTCTACAAATCTATTATCAACTTAGATGTTGCACATCAGTTCTAGATAATTAGTTATTTTATTAAATTCTTTAGATAAACCAATTAACCAACATTTCAAGAACTTGAGTCAAATTAGACCTCCAATATTGATAGGCCTATTTAAATGAGAAGAGATTTAATCTCTATAGGCTAGCCTATTGAAGAGCTTAATGGAAGTCAAAATCAGTTCGAGTCGAGTGTCCGCCAAGAGCGGTGAAACTACATCACGTTGCAATCATTGCCAATTTGGAGAAAGAAGGATTGTATCCGAGAGGTTAAAGCATGGGCGCCTTAAAGCCGGGCACTCACTGCGCCCCGACGGTCATCAGCCGAGGTGATTCATGGAGAAAGGAAACGCAGAACGGATCGTTTTTAATGACGATCCGTTCAGACTGCCACCGATGATAAGCAGACGGCGTCGCGCCGTCAAACGCTCAGGGAGTAGAGTTGGATTCGTCGTACGACGCGGCTTAACATATAGCATATGAAGTCTGGTTTCCTTAAAACCGCTACACTGTCGCTAAAGTGTTTTAATTGCAATCGTTGTACTGCGTAGCGGTCCGCGGGCGCAATCGGGAAGGCTCCCCGATTCGACCGACCAATCAGCATCGCCAAAAGCTGTCGGCGGTAGCGTGTAGCGATTGTATGGAAACCAAGCTTAACGTGATGGGACCCTTCAGGTAACAGGGATGAGTCCATCTACTGACAAAGTCACCGTAATAGGCGGTGATATATCGAAAATCGATCGTTTACCTTTTTACCCACCTTTAAGAAATATCACCGGACATGTAATATGTATAATAATATATGACGTCATAAAAATATAATGTCAGAGTGAGCTTTTAGATTCTATTTTTCAAACACTGCTGTGGACAAAGGTACGGACCATGCTACAAACTTAACCGTTCATGAATTGGGCTGTAGCATTTGATTTTCGTACTACAAAACAGCAAACTGTAACATCCGACCTTCTTAAACTTATATTTTATGTACACATACATAGCCCATGTTTTCAATGCTGATGTCCGATAGAACTGAAATATTAATTCAACCTCAGAGTAAACACTCAAAGCGCATTAATTCCACAGTCCTCCAAGTGACAAGGAGATATATATCACATTTAGATTATTTACAACATCGCTTTTACGCTGTCATTCGATTTCAGAGTATGTTTATTTTTAACTTTCATTACATACAAACAGGTTTAATTGTCGAAACTTTGGGTATGACAACGGCTTAGATCGGCTGTAATAATGTCAGAAACGGAAAATATGAAAGAGAATTATGCTTAACTAATAGTATTATCAAAGCTATAGTAATCTGGAATTCGTGTTTAAGTATATTTTTGTCCGTGATTTATTGGGTTTACCGGTGTGTAGACCACGGTGTGAGCAGCGCATGCAGCATCCTGTGTGCGCGTATTCAGAATAGACCTTTCCGCAGTGTCAAACAAACTGACCAATCATAACATCGCTAGAACACACACTTACGTCACAAACACACGTATGTCCCACAAACGCACGTCTTTACGTACGTACGCTGTATTTTTGTGGAACCTGTGCAACAATATCCAGGGGCTGGCGGCCTGGCTTAGCGGAAACATTCATCGCATACGGTTCCGTCGGCATCAACCACTCACATTATCAACATTACGTTGAGTCGTCGCCAGCATTACCGTGTACTCTCTCCATGGATAACCTATTAAGATATCTGATTTCAATATGTTATCGGTTAATGTAGCTGAATTTCATTTAATGCAGCTATCACTATTGCCTTGGTGGTCTACTTTCTATGTGGAGTCAATTATATTGCATTAAACATTATGAAATGTTATATTTCATAATGAAAAATAATGCGCATTTACCTGTCGGAGAATGATCGATAAATTACAATCATAAAAAATTTTATTTTATCGAGATGATAGTAGTGGGGAGGTGGAGTTTATTCCAGGTTGCCACAAACCGATTCGAATAAACGTTTCTTGTTGAGAAGGGTTTTTGAGGCCGGGGAGCTTTATTCGAGCGAGGCGTTTATTTTTTGTTTGATGTAAAATGGATACGTAGGCCTATACTCACACCAACTCCCCTTAATGTCACTGTAAATGTGGAACTGCAACACAATTACCGTCAAAATGTGTTATGCGTGATCATAAAGACCAATTGATCCCAATCAGGTTAGAATAATGCAATTCTTATACTGGAGTGCAATAATAAGAGAATGTGTAGAGAAGGGTGCTGCTTCCGTTTAGTCATTTGGGGGGGGGGGGCGTAAACGCCCAGGGTGTTTATTTGAGGAAGGCGTTTAATCTAAATAAAGCTATAAAGGGGCGTTTATTTAAGGTAGGCGTTTATTCAAAGTGGGGCGTTTACTCGAATAAATATGGTACTCTCCATTAATGTGTCATGATGTACGGTACGTTTTAGTGACGTCATATGCTTTATTTTTATGAATATTTTCTAAAGCTTTGTCCACACTAACAAATTTGTGTGATGTGCCCATATATGAGCATGATGATGTTATATTACACCCAAATATGGGCATATCACATTAATTTGTCATAAAAATTTATAGCGTAGACAGACCTTTGTTCTGTAATATATAGGTTACTTTACAATATTTGTATACACGAAGTACCCGTAAAATTATAATAATGTAAGCATGCCCGCTTCGAAGTCTTACTTTAATGTACACAACAAAAACACTTTAAAACTTGGTAGGCCAACACCCGGCGCGTTCAATCGAAATTTGTGACGTCAACATCGGAGTTCTGATTTACGATAAATATATTGATCATCATCCGGAAGTTTCATTCGTATAACGTCCTCGTAATAGAGCGCTTGGGCCTTCGGTTTAATAGTGGTTAAAATCAATAACCCTGTATCCAGCTGCTGTCGATAAATTCATATCATGTAGTCTGTGGTAGTTAGTGTATGATAACGCTTTAAAAACACATATTTTGAGATAATAAATAATGTATAAGATTGTATATGAGCTTTACAATTTCTAGAATTTCAGATATCCAACGTATTATTCAATAATCTACACACGTGGAAGTTTCTGAAATTTAAAGTCAGTTCGTGTTATTTCGCTGCTTATTAATATTAGGCTTAATGAAGTGAAAGTCAAAAGAACGTCTGTACATTTGGGACAATCCGTGTATCTGTAATAACATCGTCACACCAGTTTGAGCGCTGATTGGTTTGTGTACGTGTTACGCTGACGGTTTGTGTACAGTTAATGACGGATGATGCTCAACTATGAGAACCTCGGAGTATGAGATTGTATCATTTCAACCAGTGGACTCAGAATGTGTACATTATGGGCTTAAATTATACGGCGACTGATGATGTAGGCCTAATACTCGACACAGGCGACGGTTTTTCAGCACTGAAATACTCTGTCGTTGTGATATTGTCATTTTTTTGCCTGTGCGGTGTTTTTGGGAATATTCTGGTGTGCCTAGCTGTTTGGAAAATTCGAAGCCTACAGGTAGTTGGTAACTATTTTGTAGTGTCACTCGCCGTTGCCGATGTTCTTGTTTCCGGATTAATCATGCCGTTAGCGATTTCTTTGGAGTTCCTTGGAGGGAAATGGATTTTTGGCAGGTTCATGTGTTACACATGGGCTTCATTTGATGTTGCTTTATCTACAGCGTCCATCATCAACCTCGGTGCAATATCAATGGATAGATACCGCGCCGTAACGCAGCCGCTAACGTACGCCTCAAGACGAACGTCGAACATGGCGCGAAAAGTGATCATTAACGTCTGGGTGATATCCATACTTGTCGGGGCACCCGCTACAATTTTCTTACATTCCACAGACACCGAATGCTACTTAACCAGCGAAAAATCTCAATATTACGCGATAATTTCGTCATGCCTCTCATTCTTTATACCTTGCTTTATCATATTGATATTGTATTATAAAATTTTCAAGACAGCCCAGTTTCGTGCCACTCGTAGAATAGGGCCTGCGCTTGCATCCGTAGCTGCAATGTACCCGAAAACGAAAGCACAAGGAGAGGGAGGTAACAACAGCGACCAAGCGAGCGGTTCAGAATATCAAACTGGTAACCCTGAATGCAAACATACTGAACTGACTGCTGTAGATCGAACTGAATGTAGCATATATCAGGACAACAAGCGAACGAACGATACCAGACGAGAAATAGCCACATCAGAACATAATGGATCAAAATCACAGAAAAGAATATCTGTTGCGAAAGAACGTAAAGCAGCAGTGGTGTTGATGATTGTGGTTGGGACATTTGTCGCATGTTGGCTTCCGTTCTTCACGCTGAACGTAGTCGGCGCTGCTTGCTCGTCTTGTAATTTTGGACCCACGATATTGTCGGTTGTAGTGTGGCTTGGTTGGTGTAATTCAATTGTAAATCCTGCTCTCTACACTGTTTTTAACAGAGAATTTCGTAATGCATTTAAGAAATTACTTCGTGTTGACCGTTGTTTTGGTACATGACTGAAAGTGTATGGAACAGATGCACAGAAAAACATGTATAATCATTAGCAGACTGCGTACCGTATGAAACGAATTGCATGCCGTAGGTCTACCCAACCCGACCCACATCAGTCGTGTTTCTCATTATTACAGGCTGCATCATTATCAGAGCCTGTCACTTCATTAACCTATTGTTACAGCATAATAGTATAATGAATGGCCAAGTATATGTTACTTAAAATAATATTCCGTTGCCTTGAAAAGGAATTATAACGATAAAAAACTAATATCCCCAGTTTACCTTAAAAAAGAATTATTACGATAAAAAAATATATCGGTATATATAGAATGCCAGAAAATGTAGGTCTATGCAAATGGTATTAGGAACTGTCGGTGTCACATAGATTTCGGCCCTCCATTTTGGACCCGTGGGTATTGTGATTAAGGTCCCTTAGGCCCCCGCTTCCCAAACTTTTTTCTCTGGGACCCAATTTGTGATTTCGCAGACAAGTCGCGATCCACGTAATATTAAATATCATAGTAAATTGCACATCGACCTTTATAAGATCCCAAAAATATGATGCTTTATGTTTAAAAAAATGACTACGTGACATTAGTGTTACAGCGATTTTTGTTTACTAATGATCGTCCTTTTTGAAAAAAAAAACAGTGGTGGATACAGGAGTTCGTAATAGAGGGATTTTGACAGAGAGGGCCCATCCAGCTCAGCCCGATCATGGTTGGGGCTGAGGTAAGATTAGGCACCCACAGATAGCCGAAAATGGCACTTTCAGTTTGATTTTGAATACAATTTCCTTTTTATTTTAATTGGAGGGTGGGGGAAGGGTGAGCGAAAATGAGACTACTTTTAATATTTGAAACAAAATATAATCGACTTTTTTGCAGAAAATATATTCAACCATTGAATTATATATTTGATGAACTTAAACCTAAATTTTAACCTTGTGGTTACTAGAGGCTTATCCAGGATTTAAGGGGGAGGGGGTGGGGCGGGGCGTGCTGATGAAATGAAATTCCACACCACGTCAGCACCACCTTGCATGGTTAGCGGTGACCTCAGACAATTTTCAGTATTTGTGTCCTCTGGATGCCCGAAAATGGAACTTAAATTACCTTTTAACGCCTTTTATTTTTGACAAGATGAGTACCTCGGGCACTTAATTAATAAATTAGGTGCCCGAAAATGGCACTTAAATTCTTACAATTCCAAAAACAACCATACCCACATGAGCCGCCCATATGGTTGGAAAATTTTAATTAAGACTTTAAAGATGCCTGAAAACGGCACTTGGATACTTAAAATTTATGAAAATACTGGTACCACCCACCTTAGCCCAACATAGTTGAGGCTGAGGAAAGACAATTGTAAGAATTTGAAAATTTTAGATGGCGGAAAATGGCAGTTTGATACAAAAAATCTACGAAAATTGCTATATCCACGAGCCCCATCATGGTTGAGGCTACGGTGAGAAAATATTAAGAATTGGGGACTCAATCCTAGATGCCGGAATATGGCACTTTAATACTTAAAATTTATGTCAGTTATTTTTTAGCATTTAAAAGGGCCACTTTTTTTTCCAACTTCTGAAGGGGCGAGCACCCCATGGATACGCCATTGAAATTTACTTGGATAATGTTATTTTTATATCACCTTACAGTAATTTTATGTTTTCAGTTTATTTCTATAAATTGTTTATAAACAATTGAAAGCTTATATTTACACAATTATGTTGTGGCAAACGGCAACAGAAAAGTAAGAGGCCTTACTAGTCATATAAATTTCACAATATTCATTGTGGGCATACAATAAGGTATTATTGTAATGAGGATTCACCTAAACATACTGGTTTTAAGTCGCCAGACCTGTTTAACTGTCTGAGAATACAAAAGTTTGGCGACCCATTCTTGGGTCGCGACCCATAGTTTGGGAAGCGTTGCCTTAGGCAGCTTGGCTCGGAGGGATACGTTACAGCATACCTCCATGGTTAAAGATATTACAGATAGGCCTAAGTTAAGTTACCCTCAGGGTATTTCACAAGATGTGGAGCCAAAATCCCCGTGACATCGGTATAACTATGGTATTAATTCGTCAGGTTATTCGTGTGGAACATTATTTGTCGTTCTAATTTTTAATTGCATAACAATAATTATATGCAATTAATAATGTGCAGTAATGTATTGTATTTATTAGCTCAAACTTAGTATCCATCATTGAATTCCTTAACGATTTATCTGTTTTTGAACAAAATATTTCGTTTTTAAATTAAATATATCAAAGTATTTCTATCGTTTATTTATTTGTACGGTATGTATGTTGAAAGGTACGAGGCATAGATATCTTATAAGCAAAACCAAACAGTTGAGTACAGTGCCTGAAACAGCTGGCTTAGGGATTTAAACTGATCGGCATCGAGGGAGAGCATCGAAAAATGGCGTCCAGACGCAAGACAAACTTCTCGATCAGTCAACCACCCCTCCCCAAGTGGCGCTTGTTTAGATTAGCTTGGTTTCCATACATTCGCTCACGCTAACGCCGACAGCTTTCGGGGATGCTCATTGCGTCGGGGACTGCTCTACGCAGTACAACGATTGCACTGAAAACTCTGTAGCGACAGTGTAGCGATTTTAGTGAAAACTGAACTTTACTGTACCAGATTTAAGTTCCTAGTTCTTCCCTGCTAATAATGTATTTTCTATATCTTAATCCTTAATTTACCTTTGGCAACTTGGTGGTCGAATAAAAGCGATTTAAAGATTTACCTTTGTTCATCGAAGAAAGATTAAAATTTGAAAATTCAATTTGAACTTTTCTTAATTATAAAAATAAGTTTGAGATTGTATTACATGAAGACATCGAATAGACATGAAAAGATAGTGTAAAAAGACACGTGATGCATTACAGTACTACCAACCACAAGATATTATGGATGTTTCATTTTAAACGTCAAAACGGATGGATGTTGGCCTATAATAAAATAGAAAATTAAATAAGATTAGGTTCTTTAAATATCGGTCTACAGTGTTGCCTTACTGGAGCCGGACATTGGTACAAGTAAACTGAGAACCGGTTTCTTTGTTTTTTTTTAACTTTTGCTTGTTTGTCTTAAGCGTCTTCATCGTCAGATCACTCACGTGACATCACATGGCATTTATCGTAGAATTTTGGTCATAAGTTACTTGTCGAAAAACTCAAAGTAGCTCTTGATTTAAAAATAATGCATACACGCTTGGCTATGAATCAAAGTAGACGTGTTTATGATGTGTTACCATCTAAGTCCGTGCTGAATTTCCATAGTTACACTTTGTCTCGTGTCGTCGACGATATTTTATTACTTTTTCCGTTTTAACTTTATGGCAACGGGACGCTATTAAAATATCGTCATGTCGTCGACGATATTTTAATAGCGTTCCGTTACTATAAAGTTGTCATTATATTTTTGCATCCTGGTTGATGTAGTTTCACTCGGAAAAAAATCCAACTTTCATTATAGTAAATCGTTCACGCCTCTGTACTGGTTTTACATACAAATGTGTTGTAAAAATCGAGCAGTGAACGTTGCCTTTTGAACTGCGAATGTAAGTGGTTCAATTAAGTATTCATTTTTTTTTCTATGTAATGAGATAATGGATGTGTAAATCGCTAATATTACTGAAAGTAAAATTATTGGTTGTTTTTACATAATGGAATAAGAAGCCAGACGACAACACAGCTACTGTAGTTAAAGTGGTTCACGAAACGTTTGCGGCTAAAACCTGTTTTCCACTAGGCGAATTTATTCGTGCGAATCGAAAGCTTCGGCTCGCATTTTTCTGAAGCGGAAAAACTCCTATGAAGATGTGAATGCGCATGCGCATGAACACCGACGCTTTCGATTCTCGCGAATAAATTCGCCTAGTGGAAGACAGGCTTGAAACCGGTTCATCCAACGCGCCTGCATCAAGAACGCAACGCGACGAGGCGCGCTTAGCGTTAATGACGATCTATCCATGGAGGTATTAATGAGAAGGAGATCACTCGGCAAAGCTACGCGCACGCAGCGCTATGCAAATGAACCAAGATCAAAGTTGCCGCAGCGCGTAAAGAACGTTTGCGC